AGCAAGTTTTCAAGACAGAACTTCCTTGCAGGAAGACTATAGTGACTTTTCCATCAAAAGCAGTGACTTGTTCCATCAAAAGCCACAATCAAAAGAACTTATTAGCTAAACGTTCCCCCCTCTAATGAAACCTGATTATTACACCAGTTAGGAAGCAAATTAGAATAAAATAAAATAAAATAGTAGGTAAATTAAAGAGAGACGGAAGAAAAGAAACGCAAGCATATACATAGGGTGGATGTTTAATTTCACCAGCTGAAATTGGGAAGAGGGTGGTTTCCCTAACCCACTTCCCACATATCCACAGGCAAACCAGAGATCATTTTGAAAATGTAAAATAAAATAATAATACAAAAACCAACAATTGCTCGAAAAACTTCTGCACTTAACTCCAAAAGGATCAGGTTTCTTTTGCTCTCAGAACCTGAACTCCCAAGTATTCTGAAAATGATCTTTCTGGGGTGGGCGGGCAGGACACATCTTGGTCTCCAAGGTCTGGGGTAATCAAGTACATTCATGGGGTCTCACTGTGCGATATGTGCAGCTTCATAAGGTGCTTTTCTGCTCGATGCAGGAGATAAATGCCAGCTCAGTTGGAAACTTTTTCATAGCTGGGAATGACACGGGGCCACTTGAATGCCTGATTGTCTCCTGATTTCTCACTTGAAGCACACCCTTGTGAAGACCGACCAGAAGGAAACATACAGTACTTCATTTTCACTGCCAGCTCGACACAGCCTCCAACAGCTTCCACGCCAGTTGCGCAAGGGTGCCCGAATATGCTCACTCACAAAAAGAGTGCGGGTCAACATTTTGACTTTGGTCTCCTGGGCTGCTTGTGATCCACTGGAGAAACACCAGCCAAGGGTCTACAGACATTTGACACAACAATATTCTATGGTCTGTGTCCACAGAGGTGACAAATCTCTTCTGCCCCCATTTCAATACAGTGGTACCTCGGGATACGAACGCCTCTACTAACGAACATTTCGGGTTACGACCA